ATGCTACAAAAATACCTTGACAAACGGTAAGTGTTTTTCACGTCTTAGTTTAGTCCTTATTGAAGACCTTTTAGTTTAAAAAACATCGTTTCAAAGAATGATTAAGCTTAACTTACTTTTCATCTTTCTAGGTTGACTGTCAAGGTTAACATGCAAGACCAGATAACCAAGGTTTGGTAAAAAAATACACTAAAACATCATCATATTTACATGTAGTTTGTTGACAATTAATAACTAATCTTTATAATTCTTTTATTCGGTATTCAAGCGTTTTTTCAAAATTTGCTATTTTCTGAAACTAGTGAAAAGGTCTGAAAACAGTACAATTTTCACTTCTTTTAAGTTTTACCGTTGAATTTTAAATTAGTCATTGCCTATTGAACGCGGAATTTACGGAATAGACCGAGACTTCGTTTAATAGTTCTGAAGCAAAAATCTACTTCATGTAAAAATTCAACTTTTGCTTGAAGGTTTAACTGACTTCACTTTGCACCTTTGTCACAATGTCAACTTTTTTCTTGTTTTATTATTCAAAAAATAACAACAAAATCAATTTCAAATACCAAATTTTCAATTAAACATTAGAAAGATGTAATGTTTCTGTCATAATTCAAATAAACTTGGTTGTATTGAGCTAAGAAAAAAAAGACATGAAATCCATGTTGAATTTTATAGCTAAAGAAATATCAAACTAGAAAAAATATTGTATTTTTATTGTATCATTGAACTATATTATTCTACAACTATGTACAATGTATCAAAATTACATTAAGATTTTTATTCAAGCTTTCTAAACCCAAGAGAAAAAATCTTAATGAGAAAGTTTTTCATGTCCTCTCATTTGTACAAGTTCAGTACTGAAACTGAAAAAATTCTATCGCCTACAAAATGTTAAAAACTATCATACAAAATTAGTAAAATTGTAAAACATACATTTTGATATAAAATATGTAAGGAATTGTAGAAAACTAAGAAATGATGAATAAATAGTTTGATGTGATTTTTGTTGTGTTTGGTTTACTTGTATCACTACAACTCCACAAGAGTCAAACATTGAATTATCTACCATAGGTCCATGTCTAACCTAAGACCAGGATATTTATCCCTACAGAATTGTCTAGTTTTCTTTTCACATTCAGCAGATATGTTATCATTACAAGACAGGTTTAGCCAGGTGAGATTACTGTGTAAGTATACCATGATGTCATCCACTCCACCATCAGTTATCTTATTATGCTGCAGGTATAGCTTGGTTATTTTTGTCTTTTGTAAATCTTTACACAAACACTTTACTTGTTCATCATTCAAATTACACCACCCCAGACCCAGTTCTTTGATTGAACAGTTTGTAATGAGTAATGACATCAATCTCTTTATCCCGGTAATGGTTATCGGTGAGTACCTAATGCACAATGTGTGTGGTGGTGATCGTATTGATGTAGCAGTGGATTCTACTAACATAGCGATTGCATCACAGTACGTGTCGGTTACACCAACTAATACAATCCTCCCATCACTAGACCAGTATCTGTAGTCACGGTTTGTATTTAGTTCTTGTCTTGTCAAGCGTTTGTCTTGACCAAACTCGTGCAGGCATCGCAATGACACCAGGCTTAGTCTACTATTAAATAATGTATTCTTTATATGTTTACCTAGACACTCTAGTAGTTCTACCATTAATTCATTATTATCATTTAAACCTAACAAACCGCTCATGAATGTGTACACCATTTCAGTGCTTTCTTGTACCGCCATTACGCCTTTCTTCGCCAAATACCAAGCAACAAAAAACTCTTGAATGGTGAAGTGCGTGAAGCTGTATTCACAGATTGGCTTTTGAAATGGCAAATTATTACTTGAAACAGGATAACAAAATATAAGATTACTAGATTTTATGTACAATAATTCATTTTCTGATAATTTTAGGTTTTCTAAGTCTTGTAAGGTAAAACTAAATCTCTTTTGTTCGGCTAAAAGAGCCGCCAACTTTGAAAAATTATCGAGCGTTTTGTCAACAGCCAACGAAGCGGCTTTGTCATCTAAACTAAGTATTGCTTTGTTGTAATTCTTTTCTATACATTGAATTACTTGAAAATAAAACTCTGTAAGTGTGAGAGGACATGAATTATCGTGTTTTTTGATTTTCCACTCGATGAACACACACATCAACAAACA